TCTAACACAGAGGTGTCTGGGGAAGTTGTTACTTGTGCCAGAGTTGTCAAAATGGCGTGTAGTGCTCTGATTCCAATATAGGCAGTAGCATACATGGAGATGGCATGGAGAACTCCTGTAATGATACAAGACTTAATGGAGTCATTGAAGCCCATCCCATCGTCTCAGAAGTACTGGTGGCCTATGTAGCTGGGACATGCATGCATCATCCAGCAGCCATTTTCCATTGCGGTAGAGTTACAATGGTTGAGGTGGGCACGCAGGTGTGGCTGGACTGTGGGGCTTCACAGGAGCAGCCCTTAAAGACTCTGTCATCAAAGAAAGTGATCTGCAATAAAACAAAAGTAACCCTGTCACACTGGAAAGTATTTGAAAGCTGGCTTTGTTTGCATAGATTGTACAAAACAATCCAAAGACCTGAAAGATCCATAGGGACACTTGTACCAGGCCCAAAGACTAGCAAAGCCTTTATGTTCATTTTCTATAGGATGAACAGACAGTCAGTGGTGTTTTCATTTGTCTATTACTACAAATGACAGGTGGATATCCCTTTGGGACTCTGGGAAGTGGGGGGCATCTCTCATCATGATGATTTCATGCTGGAAATAGCCTGTCAGCAGTTTTATGACAAGTTTTTTTAGCATTTGGAGAAAGTGAAACCCAAATTGCTCTTTGACTGAAAGCTTCATGGATGACTTCTGTGTATCACACAGCCATTCAACTTTTGCCCATCTCCTGCACCCTGTCCTGGGCTCCTAGGAATCTTCTGTAATGTAGAATGCAGAAAAGGGAAGAAATAATTTTCCTACAGCTGGATTACACTGAAGCTTTCACCTCTCTTAATGATACAGCAACAAAACAAGACTGTTATGCATAACCCAAGTTAATCATTAAGCACTCTGGGTCATGTTGGGCAGCTGTATCTTAACAGCAGTAAAACTGAGTAAGAAAAACTTAAATTCAGTGGCATTGTTTGGTGATATTTGTTACATTTTGGGGGATAGAGTACTTAAAACTTATTTTCCTGTACATCTTAGTCTAAGATTATATAAATTTTAGGTCTCTTTCAGCATCTGACAAACTCAAAGGGAAACTAGAAAGACAGAAAAATAAAGCCAAAAGATTTCTTATGCGTAAATGTTTTGGCATTTGAAAGTTTCCAAGGACAATATAGGCTTTCTTTAGGAAACTTATCAAAGACCTAGATAATAAAACCACCACTTGAGGTTTCCCCACAGGTAATTTGTTGGTAGATCACCAAGCTATGTTTGCAAACATACTTGCCTATAAGGAGCTATGCAGGTGCTAGGTTGGTTGTCAGTGCTCCAATCATTCAGCCATTCTTACTTTTGCAGTTTTTATTATGATTTAATTGTGAGCTCTTAGCATGCAGGAGTTGCAGCAGTCCTTTATACACAGTGCACAGTGCTACATCCACAGGAATTGGATGAAAGGTAATTTTTTGCTCAGCAAAGAGAATGGATGTTTTTTCCCTTCCCTTTCTCCATTATCATTCTCTAAACAAAAGTCAATAGCAGTAGTCTGGGGGGTACACACTTTATTGGTACTGTCAGTAAGCAGAGAATCAGACTAAAGGGGAGGTCAAGTAATATTTCTTTTAGTTATTTTACTGATGGAAGACGTGCAAGTGATAGTGCTGGAAGTGCTTCAGCAGAATTGTTTCATGTCACTGTTTTTACTCTCCTCTGTTTTACTTGAGAGATGTACCGATATCTTAGTCACTGAGGTGAAATGCAACAGCACATTAATTTCTTCAGCTGAAGAAACTTTAATTGCAGTTGAACTTAAATAAAGAAAAAGCTGTTTAGGAAGAATGCTCTTAAGTTTTCAGTCTGATCTGATTAATCCCAAAGATGCTCAGGGCTGTTCATTCTGGGCCCTTGCTTGGTGAGGTGTAGTACAATTCTCATTCAATCAAAACATTGTAGTTGTCTTTAGAAGCCTGGGCAATAGGTAGCCTCAAAGTCAGAGCTGGTTTGAATTTATTTGAAGGGCAGGCTGAAGCTGATGTACTTTGGGGCTATGCAGGTAAAGTTATTCTGCTGATGGCCACCTTTGGGTTCTAGCAGGAACTTTTTTCTTAGTTTGTCTCATTTGAGTAATGGGAGGTAACCCCAAAAAAAGTGCGTTTTCATATTTCCTGCTCATACTGCATGGAGCAACAGTAGATCTTTTTGTCGCACTGGCTTCTTGTTCAAACAAAAAGCAACATGGTTGTACTTTCTTGCTTGAGTCTTTCATTATGAGTCTTGTATGGTGATTTCATGAAGCTACAAAACTTTAGGGGTGAATCTTTAGCTGGTCTGGTTTTGTACTCTAGTTGTGCTCCTGATGGGTGTTGTAAATGGTATCACTCCTGCCAGCCTCTCTCTTGGAGGTGCTTCCTCAGGCAGGAAATTGTAGCCTTTAACACTGGAAGCAGAATGAAGGAAGAACGTGAATTAAAGTCTGGCAGTTGCTTTTGAATACCTCCATGCTTTGTTTGGAGCAAAAATAACTTCTTCCTGATGGTTAACGCTAAGCAAATTGAATTAACTTACAGGAACAACTATGTGCAGGCCTGTGCTTGCATTTCTCACAGGTCTTTGACAGGCTCAGAAGTGTTAGACTCTTTTGGTTCTTTCTGTGGTCATGCCTGCTTTGTGGAGCCAGTTTTCCTTTTGGGTCCTGAATGGTCCTTCATAGTTAATACAGTGGGCACAGGGCTTGGTGATGAAGCCTGGAGTTTGAGAGATGAGAGTAGGGGCAGTGATACATGAATTCCTTCTTATAGCTACAAATGTAGAGCAGCCATCATGAGTCAGATCAGTGGTTCAGCTAATCAAGTAACTTGGCAGCAGCTGTGACCATGAGTAGCCATCATGGGAAGGGTAGATTTGAAGCAAATACATATGATACTTTCTTCAGACTTCAAGACTGCAGTAATTTTAGCTCAAGAGGTTTCCTGGTCATGAGGTTGCTTCTGGTTAATAATCCTCAGTGGATTTGTCTTACAAGTACTCATCCAGCTTCTCCATGAATCCTGTAGACTTTCCCCTTCCAGGAACCTATGACACAGATGGGCTGGGCACTGCAGGAAGGGCTTCAGTTTGATTTTTAAACTCTAGAGCCAAAATATCTTGTTAGCCAAATGGTATCCGTGATCTGAGGAGTCAGGTTATTCATGCCTGTTTCAACTGCTCTCATCTACAATGCTGCTAGAACAGCTGCTTTTACATGGAGATTGCCTGATTCTGCACCCCGGAAAAACTCAAGCATAGGGATACTCTGTAAATAGCAACGAGCGTTTATGTAGAGAAACCTACCCTGCATGCCAGCAACTGGAGTGCCTGCTACCAACCATAAAACAATCCACAGGAACCTGGAAGACATGTCAGCAGAAACTTGGATGCTCTCTGTGGATTTCCAGTGTTCCTCTCCTCTGACACCCTTGTGCTTACTGTATGTTTGAGGTTCTCTGAGCATTTGCAAGCAAAAGCAACTAAAACCTTCTGGTGCTCCTTGAAAACTAGGGATTCCAAACATTCCTGTCTCAGGCGGAAAAAATTGGAGAGGTTTGGCCATCCCCAAACTCTCGGATGCGGCAGATACAAGAATCCAGACATCCTAAATATTGCTCTGATCACTGTAGTATATTTCTGTTCATTCTTGCCTTTGACCAAAGGAATGCCAGCATGTAACCTACACATCAGTACTATACATCACATATTTCTCAATTGCACTAATTGAACTAGCTACTTCGTTGAAGTACATATGCATATGTTAATTGCTGTTTGGGGGCTGGTCTGTTTTTTCTTACTGAAGGCAAATGAAATATTTTGGTTCCCTGTTCTAAGCAGGCAAGTGGATACTGCACTTGAAGTGCTGTATTATTTTGCAAACTTTGGTTAGCACACTAACCTAAGCATGCTAACACACATATTACTTATACGATGCAGTTCCTATAGATGCAAATATTAAGCATTTGTGAAAAAGAGGAAACATGCTTTTGTACACTTCTGCCTTGAGAGCTAAATTGTTCATGCTCCATTTCTCTCTGGCTGAAACATGGTGTTCTTATGCACACCAGACATTTGCAGCAGTTCAACAACCTACTTTGTGCAGTAAAACACAGGTGGGAGGGCACAAAGTGTCCCATGTACAAAAAAAAAAAAGATAAGAAGGGCAAAGAAGGGTTCTATTTTCCTCTCCAGTGTTGTCAGGGAAAGGCTGGAGAGGATCACTAGCAGGCTATTATTGATGGGTCATGTGAGCATGAAATAATGGCTAAATGAGGTCTCTGACATTAGCAAGTAGAGATGTTGAATTTTAAGAAGTCTACCTCACTGCGATAGAAGTTGCTGAGTTTTATTCTAGGACTCCATTATCAGGATGTTTATTAGGCAAAACCAAATCACAGCCTAACATTTAAAGCTCAGATGGAAGGACTTAAAATTAAACATGCACTAGATAAGGCTGCAGAGTGTTCTAGTATTTCTATGCTCTCCCTACTGCTTTCTCTTTCCAAAAGTCTCCAGCACCTTGCTGAAGAGCAGTAGTATATTTGCCTAACTATGCCTGGGAAAAAAATTCTAGACTCCACTACCTAGATGAGATCTATGTTAAGATGTAAGATCCTTTAACTGTTTTGTATTTTATTATGGCTCTCATTCATTATTGCACAGAGTGCCTGCTGGCATAGGATTCAGTGATGATTAGTAGGCATATACATAATTATTTCAATGATAATTAATGCTGCAATAGGATTTTTTGAGCACAAGAAGATGTTGTCCTGTTTCTAATCCACACTGGTGTGCTTATTTAGTTCCTTTTGCATGCAGAATAGCCTGGCAGTTGAGGGATTTAGCTCGATCTCTAACTGCTGCAGCAGATCAGTGCAGCTCTGAAGTTAGCAGGGGCAGGGCAACTGACACCAGCTGAACATTTAGTTCATGGAGATTCACTGAAACGTGCTATATAAAGGTGGTGTGATTTTTAAGGATCTGGAAAAAGTATTTCTGGAGGAATCAACTGGGATAAGACTGGAAAGTTTTGCTGGAACAGTGGTAGCATGGAGCAGCTTGTTTCCATGAAGAATTTGATGCCAAATGCAGCATTCACCTTGTTCTGAGTTTGTCTGCATCTTTCTGTCCTTTTCCTCCTCAGTCAGTACTTTGCTGGATATAACTACTAATGGGACTTATTTTCCTATTCCACAGTACATGATAATTTAAATGTTAAAGGTCCAACTGCATATTGTTAACCTGGTAAGTGCAGAACTGTAATCTATTCCTAGATCAAAACCTGTAAAACTGGAGAAAACTTTGATGAAAGAATCAGACCTCCTCCTACACTTACCAGGGCTAGAAATATGCAGCTGGACCTTTAACAGTTATTTAAATTATCATGTAACTTTGCAACAGCTGGATAAATGTGAATATTTTTTTAAAGTATATCCCATCTCCCCCTAAAGTGTGAGAGAAATTGGATTTCCCTCTGGACTGCACAGTTTTAATTTGTTTGTAGTACTGAAGGAAGATTCATTTGAACAAGGATTTTGAAATGCATTCACTATTTGTTTATTGTGGGAGCAAAAACTCAGTGCAAGTCAGCCAGCCTCTGCAAAGAGACAATTTTGGTGTTTACTACACCCTGGTCAAGCAATCTTCTGTATTCCCTGGGCTTCAGTAAACACTATTGGCTCCTGAGGGTGGGTATTTCATACAAGACCCAAGAACCACCTAAAATATTGAGAGCAGATCTTAGGGAGATGGATGTAGCCTGGGACTGATAGGCAATCATCAGTGAGCTCCAACTTTTGGCCTTGCAGCTTCTCTCTTTCAAAGAGCTGAATCCTGTAGGAAACAGATTTCTGCAGTGCCAAGCACAGTAAAAATCTAGGAAAGACAGAAATTTAACTGATTCTGACATTACTGAACAAGACATACATAAAGAGCTGCTAGGAGCATTTCTGAGAAACTGTGTTCTGGAGATGGGATTGTGAAGAGGTTCAGTCTTTTGAAGCTCTCACCCATATGGAGGAGCTCAGGTGTGCCAGCAAATGGGTATGATCACGTGTGGTAGGAAGTAAATGGAGGATGCTTTATGATTTATAGATTTTATAAGGACTCTATTTTGTGGTAATAGGAGCAAATGTATTCAGGTGACTTTGAGATGATCTGTGGTGCTTACTCATAACCAGTCATGAATATTGTGGCCTTTTCAGAATTACGCTATTAAAAAACATTAAACATGTTATTCCATATGCTCCAATTATACACTGGTGCACAGGCAATTACCACGTGGCAAACTGCTAAGCAGTGTGAAGCATGGGAGTGTTCCTGCTGCTATAGCTTACACAGTCTGGTATACCTTACTAACCAGAGAAGTATTTCAGCAAGTATTAGTTCTTTGCCTGACTTTAACCAACACAATTTTTGTGTCAGGAAAGCTGTATTGATTGCAAACCTGATTTAACATGTTCTTGTGTCACTGAATCATAACATAGTATGGTCATGAGCAAGTTGCATACATCAACTTACAGCAGAACTTTATCAGCTGGCCCTGCTAGACCTTCCCTGCATAGTGTCAAAAACATTTCTACCTAGAAATAGTCACTCAGCTTTCTTTTAGCATCTCCAAGTTACGAACAGGCCCTGGAAATAGCACTGATATTAAACAGATTATTTCCTTCATTTCCAGTGAAACTTTGCATTGCCTTGCCGAACTTTGCCTGTTTCTCAAGTTACTTGAAGAGACTGTATACCTATATTCTTAAAGGATAAACTATACCAAACTTCTTAAACTGTGATACACTGTGAAGTAGAAATTATTTGTAGGATTACATGGCAAGACCTGATGGAGTCATAGATAATGAACAACTTCTCAAAGTTAGTACAGTCTTTCCTTTTTACAGTACTGGTGTTCTCAGTAATTGGGGTTCTCAGAAATTGTTCAGCTGCCTTTTTCTACCTGGATGGAATTGTATTTTTTCGCATATGACCACGGATCAAGGTGATCACTGCCACATTCATACCAGTGACCCTAGAAGCTCTTGTCTTCATAAAAAAAAAATTATCTCCAATATAAACATTTGCAAAGATTCATAATCCATCCAAGTGTCTATGTCAGAACAGGGTACTGGCATACTGGGGCTTCTACTTACCTTTCCCATTTTTGGCAGTTTGCTGAGGTGAAAGCTGAGAGCTATGAGCAAACACTGTAGTTGCTTTTATATACCATAGTCCTAATGCTGCACCTGTGAAAAGTAATACAAAAAGGCACGTTGTAAGCTGTGCGGAGATCTATGTTTTGTCTTTGTCGTGGTTTAAACCCTAGCCAGACAGCTTGTTCACCCACTCCCAGTGAGTGGTGCCGGGCTGAGAGCAATCGAGGGCCCCCCCCCCCCAGGGCTCTCCCCTTCCCCGCTCCCGGAGGAACGGGGAGGAGGATCAAAAGGGTGCAACTCCTACGGGTTGGGACAAGAACAGTCCAGCAACCAATGTACAACACAAATCACCACCGCTACCACCAGCTACAACAATGATAAGAGAAAATAACAAGGGAAGAGAATACAATACCACCGGCCAAGAAACGAGCCCTACCCAGAAGCCCGTGTCCTTCCAGGTAACTCCCAGTTACCCCCCACCCTGGGCATGACGTGCTGTGGTATGGAATACCTCTTTGGCTAGCCTGGGTCAGGCGCCCCATCTCTGCTTCCTCACGGCTTCCCCTCCTCCCTGGCAGAGCATGAGACTCACGAAGTCCTTGGTCAGGGTAAACATCACTTAGCAACAACTGAAAACATCGGTATCACCAGCACTGTTCCCAGGCTGGAAGTCAAAACACAGCACTGCCCCAGCTACCACGAAGGAGAAACATGACTACTACTGCTGAAACCAGGACAGTCTTTATTGTAGTTATGGCATTATTTGCATTTACCATGTAAGATTCTTATTTTTCTGGGGTTTGGGCTGCATTTGCTGGTGCTATGTGCAGGTGAAATACTGTGCAGCTGTGGAGTGCACTATATTTTCATCTGGTATCAGCAGTTTCATGTGGTGCACCTGACCCAGTGGTGGATATATGTATAAGCACAGTTCTTTACACAACCTCCTTTGCCTGAAAGCTCTCAAACTCAGCGGACCTGAGCAATTTCTCACATAGGTCTCTTCCTCTCCCACTGTGTTGATTACCTCTTACCTAATTTTGCCCTATAGTAATCTTTCCTTTTTTGAGAGCAGATGAACTTTGCTTTGGTTTCAACTCTTTGTCACCAGCTTTATCCTGGAAACAGGAAAAGTCTCCCTGTCATGTGGTATTGTTAGCTTTTCCTTACTAATCCCCTCTATTATGTACAGATTTTAGCACAGACATGATAGGAGGAAACAGTGACTAAAAGTTTCAGTCTCTTCCTGGTGTGTGGTTGACTATTGCATTCCTGAAGGCTAGCAGTCAAGTGGTTCTTTATTAGATGTTTATCAGCGTATCCAAATTACTGGCTAACATTGTAAATCAGTTTGGGTCAGTTGGTTTATTTCTCTCTCTTTGAAAGTCTGTTTTAAAAAGTCAAAGGGAGCAAGCAGAACTTAATTTACTCTCTATCTGAAGCAACGAAGGATTGGTTTTTAGTGCTAAAGTAGAGTGCTTTAATACTAAAGCCCAGCTAGCAGGTTATGGAAAACTGTGTTCCTCTGTTTTGGAACTTCTTGTCTGTTATTTTTCCCTTGTTTGGTGCAGAACTGGAACAAACTGTGACTTGTTCTATTCTAATTATCATTTTCTCACACCTAAATCTTAGGCTCTTAAAAACAAAGCGCTTCATGGAATTTGCAAAGCTGGTTATACAAAGGTCTTATATCGCCAGTAGGTGAGGCTTCAGATCAAAAGAAATTACAGCACTCCAAAACAGAGATTTATAATCTTCTGTATTTGGGGAAACTCTTTCAAGCATGTAAAGACCTTGTCAATATGATTCATCAGTTAACTTGGCATGCAGCTGAACACCTTTGCAGATCTAATTTATTTCAGAGTTCTCTATTTGCAACTACATAGACTCCACTCAGTGGAACAAATGAGTGTTTGTGACATAAGAAGGGAGAGCAGAGCAAGGTTTGGGAGACTTAGTGAAGCACAGCTTTGCTTACAAGATTTCTGGCCAAAGAAAAGGGCTTTCAGTGCTGTAGCAGGGAAGTAAAGACAAGAGTGTCTTCTGGGGAAATGGATAGGGAGAATATGAAACCTCTGCTTTCCTGTCCTTCCATCACAAGCCACTTCACTAATGCTGTTTCCAACTGTATCCTTATTAGATGACAGAGGCTAATGTGCGCTCACCATTTCCAAACAGATACTCTCCTTTCCTCTTTATATTCAGACCCTTTCTTCCAGGCTTTCTTGGTTACCTCAGACCACTTGTGTTCATCCCGATGGATTTGTTTGTCATGATGTTTGCTTGACTGTTGTACTAGATTTATTGTTGCTGTCACTGCAAGTACACTCTTCAGGGCTTTATTTTTGTTTGCTGGAGGGTTTGCTGACCTGGACTTGATGGAACTGGCAACAAGCAGTGTGAGCATGCAAGAAATACCTAACACCAAAAATTAGTGCCAAGTTGTCACAGTGCTCTAGTGTCACATCCGCCTCTATTTCAAAGTGTAAACCCTTGTGTATAGAATCATCTAGGTTGGAAAGGACCCTTATGATTGAGTCCAGCCATATGGCAAACTGATGGTGGATCTTTGGGATGTTGAATGGTCTAGAGAAATGGTTATATGCTGCATAGATTGCACACGAGTTCTTTGAACAACAGATGTTAATGCAAGTCCCCACAAAAGGCCATGAAGTCTAGCCCTGGATGTCTTTGGCGACAACATCACATACTTGCTTCACATAAATGGACTATGTGTTTGGCTCTGGCAGTGCAAATACCTGTGTGCAAGAACCTGGCAGATCACTTCCATAACAGCACCCAACCTGGTGACAGTCTGTGCAAGATTTGGCAGTTGGTGTTCTCTCTGACTCAGCCTTGCTGCAGACAAATTCCTTTTTGGAGCCAGCCTGGGCTAGTTCCTGCTCTGAGCACCTGAAGCCATTCTAAGATGTAGAAAATGCAGCAGAGATGCTTGATCGTAAATCAGAACACCCCTCATGGAGCCACCATCCTTTACATTGTTTTAGAAAGATTGAGTAAAAGTGAATTTCTCATTTTGTTGACTCTGGTATTTGCTCTTGCTGCTGGCTGCCTCTTGAAGATATATGGTCCTATGAACTTAATAGATTAAGTCTTCAGACAATTACATTCCATCCTGACAAAATTGATTATTTTCCTAACAGTTTGGTTATATTTTCCTCCTACAGATAAACTGATCTCTTGCACACAAAGGGTGTTTTGCCATTCCAAGATGGATGCTAAATGTTTCCACCCGACATTTGCCTAGGAAAAAACTCTTCACCAAAATGAGTGAGAATTTCAGGAATAGCTAGAGAATCAGTAGTGACATGTCTAAAGTCAGGATTACTGTAGCAGAAATAGGGGAAATGGGGGGTTGCTTGTATCACAGAGCTCTAGTAACTCTAGCTAAGGTCTAGAAACTGAATCATAAGCTTGTGTTGGGAAGTTCAAAAAGTCAGCACCTCTGGTCCTTCAGGCAGTATGCCTGTGCCTCAGCTACTGTGTTGTTCACAGTCAAGCATTAGCTGAAACTCTCTGATTTCAGTGTCATAAACTGGGCTGTGAATTGCAGCACCAAGTTGCCACCATGAGTTCTGCTACTGGAGTCAGTCTCTGGGGTACAATGGGCAGCTCTTAAATTGCCAGAAGGAAAGTGGATAATATGATACCCCGTTCAGTTCCCCACTTGCTGCACAAGACCTCAGTACCATGATTTTAGGCGTTTGGAAAGAACAGACCCAAAATGGTTTCTTATCTTTCCTACTGTGGATAGTATTACAGTGCAGTGGTAGGCACAAACTGCATGCATGTGACAGATGATAAGTGTGCACATATAATCAGAGGTCTCATCTGGGTCCTGTAGAACAAATTCATGACTTGGCATCTCATCTGACCTCTGAACTATGTACACTGCTTTTTTGCATAGCCAAGAAGAGAGTCTGAAGTGTCCTGGCTAATTGGGCTGGTCACAGCAAAGCCTTTCCTCAGGAAAAGAGGAAACTTCAGCCAAGGTGACAGAAGGCTATCAATCTCACTGTGCACACATCTGCAAGCACCTTTCAGGTTCCTGATTTTGGCTGTCTGAAAACGTGAACAGCAAACCACCTGATCTGCTGGGCTTGACACAAGCCAGCCAGCAGGAGAGGGAGTGGCAAAAGGGGCAGGTATATGCACCCTGAAAATGAAACACTGTTTTTGTGCTTATTAGCACAGCAACATTTCAGTTGCTTACTTGTCTTAACTCTACCAGCCTTATCTAAAATCCCGGAAGTATTAGCCAATGAAAAGTGAAGACCATGGCAGCACTGTAATAGCAAAAGCAGCATTGGAGTAACGTGGCTAATCACCTATTTGTTAGAGTTTTACTGTTTATTTTATTGCCGGTCAGTGAACAAAAAGCAGTCATGAGATGTTAATCTCTCTAGCTGTTTAATCTTAACCACCCCCTCACCATTGTTCTCCTCATGTGCTTAGCAGCAATAACACCTCTTCCCCTCTTGTAATGACCTCATTTCAAAGTAAAGTTTCTCTCTGCTTTGGCTTAAAGAGGTCACACTGATGCTGTTTGAGTTGAAATTAAATTTGGTCAGGTCCTGGCACTGCTCTACTGAATTTGTTTGCAAGAAGAGAAGACTGTTTAGAAGTGATGGGTGGTCTAAGCTCTAGGAATGAGCCTGTGCTGACTGTGACACAGGGCCTGGAAGGAGAGGTAGGAGCTGCTAAATGGGATTGGATAGTGTGTTGCAGTAATCCTGCTCCTGCAGAGTGAACTAGCCAGGGCAAAACAGGTGATGCTTAACAAATCCATGGCTGAAAAGTTCCTGTGTGAGAGTGATGTTGCTGTTGATCTTAAGACCCCTCTAGCCTTCTCATCTGACACCCTTAAGACCTTCAACTTTGGCTCACATGGCTTGAAAGGCAAGTGGGGGATGCACTATATGGCCAAGAAGACCCATCAATATCAGCACAAAGACTCACCAGTTAATCTGTAATTTTTTGGAATGTACCAATATGTGGATTTCAGTTGGTTTGGAATGTACCAATAATAGGTCTTTCCCTATGGAGAGCTCAAAATTGGAAGGCCAAGTGTTTGCAGCAACTACATTTTATTTTAGACTGATTTTAAACAGGAAATATGTGATATGTTAAAATAGATAGCTGTGAATATGGTAAACTGAAAACAAGCTTTGAGTCCATGATGACTTCTAAAAGACCCTTTGAATCACTAAGTATAACCATTCTTTCTTGTGTAGTGCTGTCTTTTGGCATCACCATATATCAGCTCAGTGACTGACTAAGAATCAGCAGGCAGAAGAAGAAAAATAGTATTGCTTCACAAGTGTTTATTGTCTTTTTTTCCTTAAGCAGATATTTTGCATTAGAGTACAGGACCATCTCCAGGGCATGGGTTAATGCAGCTGTACAATGAGACCATACTTTGGATGAATATCTATTTCATGGCTAGATGTAGCTGGGAATCTTTATTTCTATCATTTTCATACGTAAAGATATCTAATGGAGTTAAACACGCTTCTCAGCAGTGAACACTTCTACGACTCCACTGAGCCCTGAAACTTGTATGGAACTAAGTATAAAGAATCCTATAGAAACACCCCAAGCTGTGTGCCTAGGCTTCCAGGCAGAGGAGGAGAGGGATGTGGAAGCAGAACTGCATGCACCCAACTCGTAACCCAAGGTAGAATAAGTACAAGGATGAGGGTTGTGACAGTCCATTTAGGAAACGGGGAGTGTTCTTGGGAAACACAGCACGAGCATAGCGAGACCAGCAAGCAGGGAATGGAAGACAGGCTTCAGTGCTACACTGGCACTACAGAGAGAGGCTTTTTCTTTAGCTGAGGCCTCTAAGGAAATAAGAAAGCAGGGTGATTAGTGGAGAGCTGAAGAAAATGGGATCATCCTGAGAGGCACAACTCTTGTGTCACATGCAGGGAAGCTCATTCCTGCCCCACTCTGGATCATACGTGGGAGCTGCACAGCACTGTGGACAACGGGAAGTGTGTACTCCCTGTCTCTGAAGTGCTGGATCCTCTCTTTGGCTCCATGAAAGTAGCATGGTGTGTTGAGAAGCAGTAGGGGTGTATTGGGAAAATGTAAGCTCCCAACACACTGTCAGGGAAGCAGAAAAGAGGTGGCTAAGGGAAGAAGAGTGAATGTCAGTCTTGGATATAAGTTATAAGAGGCGGGAAGGAAGGAATGACTGCTAAGATTTAAATACAAAACAAAAAAAAAAACAAAATAAAACATGAGTTGCAAATGTATTACCAAAGCTAAGGCAGCAGACATCCATTAGCTCACCTACAGCTAAGTGAGGTACATGAAGTCTGGGTCTTTATGTCTTTGTTTCCTTTGCATTCCTTGCTTTTGAATCAGTTCCAGGCTTCTCCAGAGGGATTCCTTGTTTTGCTTCTGTAACTCCCTGCTGGATGCAAATGTTAATAAATGCAAGCACAGCATGCATGGCTGAATCCATCAGGAGAGATGAGGACTGCCTGGCAGATCAGCTTCCCCCCTGCTGTGCAACATGTGATGCACATTGAACTCAGGGTTGTGGGGGAGCCCCTTTACTTGGTAAAATCCAGCCCTGCTGCTGGAATGTTAGCATTCTAGCTCAGGGGAAGCTGCAGCAAATAGGCTTTAGCAGATCGTGGACAAAGGGAAAGGGAGAGCCCAATTCATGTGCATGTTAGGCTCATCTGATATTATTGGCTTCTTTATGGAATCATTCTTTGTTATTTAAAGAAAATATAGTTTCAACTTTTTGGTTTGGGTTTGTTTTTGTTTTTCTTTTAAACCTAAAAATGATAGTAGTGAATGTGTTTTGCAGGGACATAAGTGAGAAGAGTGGCTTCCATGTCTTTGTTTAATATTACTGGAATTGATTTTCCAGCTCATGAGTGACACCTCCTGACAAGTTGTTATACAGCTGCCTTTAAAGTACAATTTAGGATTGACTGTTATAAATTAGTACTAGTATGAAATGTCTGCACTTCTCAGCATGTTTTAGCATGAGACAAAAAAGGTTTTGTGGGCTCTGGGTGGCCTGAGGTGTGCTCTAGCTGTGACAGTCAGTGCTAGCGTTGCAAAAATAGTTTCACTGGCTTGTGTGAATTCTTCAGACCTGCTTTGCCAACCTGTTGTTTTCCTTTGGTCAGTGAGTCCAGTTGCTTGCTGTTCTTTTTAGCTCTCCTTGAACCAGGGCTGGTCTTTTGATATGCTGCTGCTGTCTTGAACTTGGTGCCTTGTGAGAGAGAAAGAGTCTCGCATCACCTTGGGCTTATACAGTACCACGAGACTGGTTTACAGACCTACTGCATGGGATCAGCTGCAATACGTGGTTGGAGGTAAGGGGTCCCAGCTTCAAATTCTCTAATGCTCCTGAAGTTACTCTCATTTTTGCTGCACTTGGAAATGAAGCAGGGAAGGGAAGGGCGGCTCTTTCAGTGGCCAGTAACATAACTGACGTTTGCAAAATTCCTGCTATTAACTGAAGCTTAAGAACAAGTGACTGTCAGACATAAAGGCTGATTCTACTAGAAACATGTAGTCTTACTGTTTACCTCAACTTGAGGAAAATGCTCCCTTTGCAACTGCCATAAGCTTGAGGAGCCTGAGCTAGACACTATTTCTAGGCTACAATGAGAAAATGCCCGTACCTTCCCTCCCTGCAAGAGGATAGGCACAGACAAAGGCATCTGTTGCAGTTCAGCAGGCTGTAACTTGGTGGCTCTGCTAGGCCAGGCACTGCTGTCCCACATCCCCCTGCCCTGGTCTTTTGGGAGTTGGGGTAAAATGTGCTCACTTTGCTTGCAGGCATACTGTGCAGCTTCAGGGGCAGTCAGCATGGCAAACGGATGCAGGGAGAGCTTGAAAGGCTGAATCCAGTGGTTCTGGAAAGACAACAATTCATGGATTAGTATATCTGCAGAAACTATGTGCCTAGCCAAATGGGCAGTCTCTGTTGGGGTCAGCAGAAAGCAAAATAACTGCTTAAGAGGTCCTGGTAGATAAATAAGGACAGCTTTGCTGACAGTTTTTGTCCTGGCTGCTTGATCCACCCAGCTTCTTGAAGTGCCCATCCCCACTGGCCAGACATTTCAGTTATCCGCATAGTAGCTGAGCTGCTGCATTTTATAGCCATGTGTGTGCTGGTGCAGCCTGGGGATTGTGGTCTGGAATAGCATCCTGGCAGCAGCCTGCAGCTCCTCAGCTGTTCATATAGCAACTCCTGAAATAGCCAGACAACAGAATAGGAAACTGAGAAGTGACAGGCAGTCAGGATAGCAACCATTACATCCATTTCAGGTCAGGATGTGCCTTCTTATGAATCAGAATCCCACTAGGATATGACATATCTAAGTATCTACATATCTTTGTGTAGCTAGTGCTTGATTTTCAAGGAGAGCTAAGCCAAGGCTTCAGAATTGATGGAGATTCTCCACCAATTTACTTTGGTGGGAAACAGGGAACAAAAAAAAAAGATAACTAGAGAGCCACAGAAACTGAATTTTGAGATGGGCTGGATTCCAGCTCTTTGAGTCTAGGATTCTTAAAGAGGCACAAGCTGTGCTCCAAAGTTACAGTTAATGAAAACAGTAGATTTAACCTCTTAAACTAATTAAGGCTTTGCAAAATAAATTACCCTCAGTTCCCAAATTCAGCAAAGCATTTCCATTCCTTTCCCAAAGTGGAAATGATCTTATGCCCATGATTAAAACTAAGCAGTGCTGTTGTCTGAAATAGAAACTGGAGACCCTGATAGCAATGGTTTATCTTCCTCTTTAGAAAATTTTGTAACTCTGCTGTTGTCATGGTTTAAGTCCAGCTGGTAGCAAAGTACCACACAGCTGTTCACTCACGCCCTTCCTTTTTCCCTGCTCCAGGCGGGTTAGGGAGGAGAATTGAAAGAATGGAAATACCATGGGTTGAGATAAGAACAGTCCAATAACTAAAGTAAAATATAATACTACTACCACCTATAATGATAAGGGAAATAACAAGGGGAGAGAATACAATTGCTCATCACCCGCCAACCGATACCTAGCTCAACCTGAGCAGCAATCTGGGCCTTCTGTGTAACTCCCTCCAGTGTATATACTTGGCATGATGTGCTGTGGTATGGAATACCCCTTTGGCTAGTCTGGGTCAGGTGTCCTGTCACTGCTTCCCCCCAGCTTCCTGTACCTTACTGGCAGAGCATGAGGCTGAAAAGTCCTTGATCAGAGTAACCATTTTTTAGCAACAACTAAAACATTGGTGTGTTATCAGCATTGTTCCAAGGCTAAAGCTGAAACACAGCACTGCATCAGCTACTACAAAGGAGAAAAAACCCTGTTACAGCTGAACCCAGGACAGCTATCTCATGAGCAGCAGGGAAGTATCCAGAAGTCCACTAGGGACAGGATCTAGGCAAGTGCACAGTAATATGAGATGAAGAGAAAGACTGTTTCTGTTCTTTCTTTGTCTCTGATTGCATAACATCAGAATATAAATCAAAGGTAAACACCCCACTACCTCCTCCCCCCCAATAAAAGCCAAAACCCCAAGCAACAAAAAACACAAGAACCCCCCCCCCAATCCCCCCAAATCCAAACCAAAAGAGAAACCAAACAAAACTGAAAAAAAAAAAAACAACAACCATGAAAAAACCCCAAACCAACCCAAACTGACAAACAAACCCCACAAACCACCATGGGAAGCAGCATGAGTAGGTGGAACACCTTCAAGAAAACACCACTCCTCTCCACTGTATGCTGTGCACTCAACATGGAGACTTCAAAAAATATCCTGGGTTGGGAATTCCTAGAGAAAAGGATTCTTGCCCATAAGAAGCATGACAATAAAAATGCACAATGTAATGTCCACAGAAAAAGAGGGAAAGCTGATTCACCCACTTTTCTCAGGAGCAGAGTGGAAGATTCCTCCTTCAACCTAACATGTGAAATGCCCCTACATGGCATCTAGTGGCATTTCTAGTTCTTGACATGGGAAAATTCAACTAAGAGGTTACGCCCAAGGCTGTTCTGACGCATGTAACTGTGAGTTGGAGTGTGCTCTAGCCCTTTCTGGACATCGGGTGGCAGTCTGTTTTTAATATTATGGCTAAGCATGACTGAAGTAAACAAAAAATAAACTAAGTGCACGAGAACCACTTTGAATTACATGTGAATCATCTTTTGTACTCTGATTACAATTCCACAGCAACTTTTAATGGTTGCTTGGGAAACATCAATAAAGTCTGTGTTACTGGAAATGAAACCTATATATTCCTGCTACAAATGCTCTTTCATTAAATAGCTGGGCCATATAGAATACTTTCTTTTGATTTGAGTCATGAATTAAAGAGTATAATACCTCCCCTGTGTTTTTGGTTTTTTTTTTTGAAGGGCAATTACACTTACATGACTAAAGCTCTTCTGCTAGAGAAACTTGCTCTGAACACAGGCAAAGCCCTTTTGAAGCAGGCTGTATCTCCTTGGATCTTCATAGCCTCTTGTCCATTCCACATTAGCGGTAATCAGAGCATGCAAGTGGGAATGCTGCTCTGTAAAGCACTATGCCAAAGGCCCAGGAGCTGGGTTACATCTTGGTGTGATTGTGAATAATTGGGCTGCCCTTTTCTTGCCTGGCACACTGTGAGGTAGAGGAGGAGGTTTAGTTCAGCTTTTTGCTCTGTTCAAAGAGAGAAAGCTGGAGCTAGTTTGTTACTACTAATGGGGCAAAAGGAGCAAATGACTTAAAATGTAACATCTTTTAAAGGCACAAGATATTATAGGATCCAATTGCATTAGGCCTTTGTGCAGCAGGAGCTTCCTTCCACTTCATTGCTTGCAGCCCACCAGTCTAGGCAGTAGGCTGGTGGGAAAAGAAACCAAGAGTGTATCATTGCTATGGCCAAAGCTAAGAGTCACTAGTACCACCAAATGTGGACCTAAAGGGCAGAAGATGTCAAAAAGTGTGGGATAGATTCTACAATGTGTGTAACACTGGCAATGATGAAAGCCTTTTAAGTATGTTTGGGAATGGGATACCACTTGAAGACTAAGGGGCTAAGACTTGGGGCTAAGGTAAGAAACTGAAAAGCTTTAACTGGTGAAATTTCTGCAGGGATGAGACCTGATTATTAAGGCTGGACAAAGTATCTCCTTTTTGTCTACTGAAGGCCTTTTTTTTTTTTTGTATCCATCTGGTTGCTCAATTACACTTTTATAGAATCATAGAATCATAGAATTGTTAGGGTTGGAAAGGACCTTAAGATCATCTAGTTCCAACCCCCTGACGTGGGCAGGGACACCTTACGCTAAATCATATCACCCAAGGCCTCGTCCAACCTGGCCTTGAACACTGCCAGGGATGGAGCATTCACAACCTCCCTGGGCAACCTATTCCAGTGCCTCACCACCCTAACAGGAAAGAATTTCCTTCCTATATCCAACCTAAACTTCTCCTGTTTAAGTTTTAACCCATTACCCCTTGTCCTGTCACTACAGTCTCTAATGAAGAGTCCCTCTCCAGCATCCCTATAGGCCCCCTTCAGATACTGGAAGGCTGCTATGAGGTCTCCACGCAGCCATCTCTTCTCCAGGCTGAACAGCTCCAACTTCCTCAGCCTGTCTTCATACGGGAGGTGCTCCAGTCCCCTGATCATCTTCATGGCCCTTCTCTGGACTTGTTCCAACAGTTCCATGTCCTTTTTATGTTGAGGACACCAGAACTGCACACAATACTCCAGGTGAGGTCTCACAAGAGCAGAGTAAAGGGGCAGGATCACCTCCTTCGACCTGCTGGTCACGCTCCTTTTGATGCAGCCCAGGATACGTTTGGCTTTCTGGGCTGCAAGCGCACTCTGCCTGCTCATGTTCATTTTCTCATCGACCAACACCCCCAAGTCCTTCTCCGAAGGGCTGCTCTGAATCTCTTCTCTGCCCAGCCTGTAGCTGTGCCTGGGATTGCTCCGACCCAGGTGTAGGACCTTGCACTTGCCATGGTTAAACCTCATGAGGTTGGCATCAGCCCACCTCACAAGTGTGTCAAGGTCCCTCTGGATGGCATTCCTTCCCTCCAGGGTATCAACCCAACCACGCAGTTTGGGGTCATCGGCAAACTTGCTGAGGGCACACCCAATCCCACTGTCCATGTCAGCAACGAAGATGTTAAACAAGACCGGTCCCAACACCGATCCCTGAGGGACGCCACTCGTTACTTGTCTCCAGCCAGACATTGAGCCATTAACCACAACTCTTTGTGTGCAGCCATCCAGCCAGTTCTTTATCCACCGAGTGGTCCATCCATCAAATTGATGTCTCTCCAATTTATAGACAAGGATGTTGTGTGGGGTGTGGGACAGTGTCAAACACTTTGCACAAGTCCAGGTAGATGACATCAACTGCTCTACCCCTGTCCATCAGTTCTGTAGCCCCATCACAGAAAGCCACCAAATTGGTTAGGCAGGATTTCCCCTTAGTGAAGCCATGCTGGCTGTCACCAAGCACCTTGTTGATTTTCATGTGCCTTCCAGGAGAATCTGCTCCAAGATTTTGCCAGTCACAGAGGTGAGACTGACTGCTCTGTAATTCCCCCGGTCATCCTTCTTGAAAATGGGGGTTATATTTCCCTTTTTCCAGTCACTGGGAACTTCACCTGACTGCCATGATTTCTCAAATATGATGGCCAGCGGCTTCGCAACTTCATTCTCCAGCTCCTTCAGGACCGCGGATGGATCTCATCAGGACCCATGGACTTGTGCACGTTCAGATTTTTAAGATGGTCTCGAACCAGTTCCTCTCCTACAGTGGGCGCAAGGTCTTTAGTCTCACAGTCCCTGCATCTGCCTTCCAAGACTTGGGTGGTTTGGTCAGAGCCTTTGGCAGTGAAGACCAAAGCAAAGAAGTCATTCAGAACCTCAGCCTTCTCCAAATCCTGTGTAGCCAGTTCTCCCAAGAGCTTCCTGAGGGGGCCTACATTCTCCCTAGTCTGTTTTTTTATTTGCTATGTACCTGTAGAATCCCTTCCTGTTACCTTTAATACCTCTAGCTAAGTTTAATTCTAACTGAGCCTTAGCTTTCCTAACCTGGTCCCTAGCTTCTCGGACAACATCCCTGTACTCTTCCATGCCACCTGTCCTTGCTTCCACTTATTATAAGCCTCTTTTTTCAATTGGATTTTCCTCAGGAGCTCCTTATCCATCCAAGGAGGTCTCCTGGCCCTCCTGCTGCACTTCCTTCTGGTTGGGATGCAACACTCCTGAGCTTGCAGCAGGTGATCCTTGAATAACATCCAACAGTCTTGGGCCCCTCTGCCCTCTAGGGCTGTATCCCATGGAACCTTCCTAAGCAGGCTCCTGAAGAGGCCAAAGTCTGCTGTTTTGAAGTCCAGGGCAGTGAGCTTGCTGCACGCTCTTCTCACTGTCCTGAGGATCTCAAATTCGAGCATCTCATGATCGCTGCATCCAAGGCTGCCCTGGAGCATCACATTTCCAACGAGCCCTTCCCTGTTGGTGAGCACGAGGTCAAGCATGGCACCTCTCCTTGTCGGCTCCTCTATTACTTGCAGAAGGAAGTTGTCTTCTACACAATTGAGGAACCTCCTGGATTGCTTGTGCCGTGCCGGGCCATACCGTCCTTCCAACAGATGTCAGGGTGGTTGAAGTCACCCATGAGAACAAGGGCCTGCGAGCATGAGGAAAAACTGATAAATCACTCACCTTTGCAGAGCTTTGACAGTGTGTTGCTGAGGGCCTGTAAATCTCAAAGATCTCTTCAACAGGAATGCTGTTCTGTGAAAGGCAGGTAAGGAGGCTCAGCTCTCAGAAGCATTCTTTAAAGTGAATGTATGAAATCCAGCTTATATCCCTTTCATTTCATCTCCTTCATGTGAGCTCCTAGTATTGTTCCATGCTGCTAGTACAAATCTATTGAGATCTGGTTCTGAAACTTGCTCACTGTTCTGGACTTGGGTGAGAAAAGGTAAGTAGCCTATACACGCACACAGATCACCTACCAAAACTGCCTATTTTTTCTTTTTTCTAAGACTGAGCAAAAGTTAATGGCTACCTGATAAAAATGAGACAGATTTGTAATATCAGCACTGTCTGTATACTGTGCTTTCAATGAACACAGTCATTCAGAATACAAGGAGTGTTCCTAAACAGATGGCATAGAGCAAAAGGTATTTATATCTTTCTTGCCTTCTTACCATTAATATTCCAGCATACGAAGATAATATCATAGCTTCTCTCTCAATTCGGTTGGGATATGCGTATCGGTTGTGAGCTGCAAAATTCCTGTACGGTGTTTTAAACAAGAAGATTATTAGCCTGGTGTTATATATCCAAAAACTAGTCCTGAGCCTGATTCACTGCTGCTTTTACTCCATTTTCACACTGGTGTAACCCACCGCAACAGCAGGACCTTAGCTTTGCAATACTCACGTTTTCTCTCTTGTCAGTGCAGTTTGAACACCCAAGTCAGATAGCCACAGCAAAGCAATGCTGAGGGCTAAGTTGTAATGGACCTGGAAAGGCAGAATAACCTTATGTGTTTTGTTTTACTGTAATTGCTTAACTAGGGATGACAGAAAGACCAGAGAAATGCAGGGAAATGTGAGCTGAAGGCCAGTATTGTCTCAACTACATTGGGTACCTCAGCAGTTGTAAGACACTTGCTGAAGTTTGAGGGGTTTTAAACATACCAGGAAGGTTTTCTCATCTTAGCTGAAAGACGTTTGGTTATACGTAGACAGCTTTAGTTTGTGAAGAATTCCCTTTGGTTAGTTGACTTGAATGTTCCCTGTGGATAAGTTCAGCCTTGCCGAAAAATCAGCAAAAGCTTGAATTATATTGGATACATTACACCTGGATGCTATTCACAGCCAGTCTCTTTTGATACTCATTTCAGTGATAGGCTTCTACTGATGATTGTAGGAACAGATTATTTAGCTGTACCAAACAGCCATCCTTCAGAGTTCTCAGTAGCCATGCAGTTAAAAAGGATAAGAAGAAGTCTGGTGATTACCATGTCATCTAGAAAAGTGGGCTGCCTTTGTCCTCTTGGATCAAATTTATTTTCTTGCAGTCTGATGCCAACATAATCTCCCCTTAAAGCAAGAAAACTCAAAATTACAACTGGTTCTAAGCAATCCAGTGCATAAGAAATGCAATAGATTAAACCTAGTGCAAGACTGGGGCTAAATTTGCTATGATTCAGGGCTAGGAATCTGCTGCAGGATTTCTCACAGACACCTCCTAAGTTGGAAAGCTGTTCATTTTCTGCATCACTGCTAATATTAACTTCACTCAACCACACTGCTGTCTTCCACAAAGGCTCCAAAGTACAGGAATAAGTACAAATATTAATTAAGTATTTAAAGTCTGGGGACTCACAGAAGGATTTCACTATGTGGCAAAGAGACTGAAAGAGATGCTTTCCTGGTGCTTGTTCTTCTCATTCAGGGGAGGTCTGATTCTGCAATTTGTCCTTAGACTAAATACTACTGATCCATCCAAGCAGTCCTAGAGAAGATGGGCACAGGACTTGTATGGATTAGATGCGACATTGCTTTCATCCTCTAGGAGTTGTCTGCTGGGTGCGTCTGAATTGAGAGCATGAGATCCTGATGTGTGAACGAGGAGACACCTTACAGCAGCTGCACTGGCTGCATGGCAAGGGAAGAACTCTGCACCTCCCTGGTCACACCTACTGACACAGAGCAAGTTCTAGGCTGTGACATCTCTACTGTCACATATACAGTCAAGTGTCACACTGCTGACCGCATTTGAGAAAATGAAAACGTCTCAAAGGATGTCTGTTCCTACCTCCCAGCAAGAAAAGACTACGGTTTTAGAGTTGTCATCCAGCTAGGTCATGCAACACTTTGACACAAAACCAAGTCCATCTCAAATGCAATGAAGGCAGTTGTGGGCAGTTGCTACTTACAGGAGTTTTTCAACCTCTTTCTTCAGGTGTTTTCTTTCCATACTCTAGCTCCTGTAGCAGATACTCAACTCAATGGGATCTAGGAGAAAGGAAAGTGTATCCTACCAAAATATCTGTCAGTAAGTGAACAGGAATCATAGATAAAGAGTATGGGACACTTGGAGACCCCCTACAAAAATCCAGTTAAACCCATTTCCCAGGTCGGATTACAATAGAGGCTGAGGAAAATCTAGTCAAGAAAGAGAAGACAACACGCAAAATACTGAAACTGAGGGTAAGGAGTTTGGTAATGGGAAATGGGCAGAATAAGCCCATTTAAAATAAACATTGATCTCAGTGTCAACTTGCAGGTTGCTTGCAACATGTCATGTATATTCATGTCATTGCAACAGTCATGTATATACTCACATATAATGCAATCTATAAATCTGCTGCTGCTTCTGAGCTTCTTAGCACATGGCTTGCTCTTGATGCTGTATGTGTATTAATGAAATCTATATGGTAAAAAGAAGGGATGAACTGGAAAGAGGAAAGAGTGGAAGATATAACAGCTGGCCTGACAGAACACAGCAAAGAGAGAAGCACCTGACCCATCAATTTATTGTAGTATTAAAGTGCAGGCTTCACTCCTTTGCTCCATTATGCACAAAGTAATAACATGTCTAGTAAGATCTCTGTGTTACTGGATATTGTTCCCCTATTATCTGTCTCATACATGTATACACGAAATCACACAATACCTGTGTCAACTCTCAGGAAAGGCCTCAGGATCGGGGTTTGGAGCCTCTGACTTCAGGTATCTATGAGGAGGAATTCCCTCTTGATATTGCTGTTCCTTTCTTGCCTCTGCCACTCAGTTTGTATGCCAGGGTAATTACACTATGGCTTCACACCAGACTGTAGATTTCTCCTGTTGCTTAGAAACAACGCTGCTGAGCTGGGCCAAATTAAAAGAGAAACAAAACCCAACAACCAACCAACAACACATAAAAGGTTAAACCTGCACTGGATTATTGTTTCAAGCTAAATGATCCTTTTATGCTGCTAGGCATTGAGTTTCACTGCTGAGTGGCTAGCTGGAAACAGAAGACTTGCTAACAGGGGAGGCAGAGACTACTCACTGTGTTTTCTGACAGATCTAATTGCTCGTAAAAGACACTGTCACCTTTCACTGTTCTAGCATTCCCCTGTACAGAACAAAAAAATAGACCTGATACCTCCCAAGAGCCCATCTGGGGTTCCATTTGCAATGTTTATATCATTTCACAAGGATCCTGCTGCTTGTTCTTTTATCAATGTTATGTTTTTGCTTACAGCATTAGAAGAAATTCTAACAGGCAAGAAATTCCAACATGACTTACCAAATCCTGCTGTTGGCCTTCCAACGGATGTGGGGCACGTTCTGCACAAGACTGCTGGTAGCCAATGCATCATGATGTCTAACAAGTCAGTGAGAAGCAATTGGATTTTGTAACTAGCAAGGTGTACTTCTGAATGGAAAGAGCTGTCCACCTCCTTGGGAATGTACTTCTCATGTTATTAACTGATTACCTAATAAACAATAGAAATGGGTTTATGAGACATATCATAATATCGCCTTTGTGATGGTTTAAGAAAGCAAAAGTAAATGCACTATCATAAGACAGAAGATGTTTTCCAGGAAAAAGCCTACTTGGTATTTACAGAATCTGTGCTGTGCTTTCCCAGCTCAGATTTACAGTTAGTGTTGTGCACGTGCCTAGGAAGGTGCAAGAGGTAAAGGTGGCAGACATGGTTCTGCCACCTACCATGTCTTTGCCATAGCAGTGGAAAGTCTGGTGGGTGGCCACTGAGGGAGAGATGGAGTTTGGGAATTACCCCTCCTTGCGGCATTTGATGCTTATAGTCATTCTCATTAATTCTATGGCAAAATGAGCACCAAGTTTAGCACTACTCCCCCCGTTCATTCCAGCTGCAGGGTTTATAATAAAGTTGGATTTGATTTCTTAGGGCACCTGCTTGGCAAACTTCATAGCAACCCTGCGTCCCCAGTAGAGCTACTGTTTGTTTGCAATGAGAAATGCAGATCTACTGCCTGCCTTTCCTCCAGTTACGCCTGCTCAGGTCTTACCTGCTGGTATGGCCAGGTGAGTATGAAGTGTGACCTTCACAAAGCGAACACAGCCATGCCAGGACTCCCCCAAAGTCCTGCTAACAGAACCCCTCTCCTATTATGTGGCAAGGGTGATATCCTGATGAAGACAGGCACTTTCCTGTCCAGAGCCCTGGGGGTGAGCTGCCCTCCGCTATTTCCCACAAAGCAAGAAATGCTTCTGCATCACTGCATGGCCGGGAGCGGGGTGGTGGCGCTGTGTTTGCGCTTTTCCGACGGCGGGGAATAGCAGCCACTAGTGGATACCTGCGGAAGAGATGGAAGAGCTGCGCCAGCAGGTAATCAAACTTTCAGTCCTTCCCCGTTCTCCACTGATTTGCAGCTCAGGACCTTCTTAAGCAAAAAGTATTGTCTCAGTAGTCAATGGCCCTTCATTGTTTTTTACTTCCACAAACCTGCCCAATCACTTTTTAAAACCCAAGTAATTGACATCTGTAAAGATCTCCAGTGTTAAATAGGGCTGTGTGGGAAAGTCCCTGGTTTTAAGCAGTTCAAGTGTCAATTTAATTTGCTGACCAGTGTGTTTCATATACTTAGTAAAATTAGCAAGTTTAGGCCCCTCAAACTGTGGAATTTGTCATTCACAGAGCACAGAATACATATTAGAGAAGGATACTTAAGTCTTCCCCCACACCATAGCACATTTAAGGAGTCACAGGTTCCCCAGAGCAAGAAATAAAGCAACACACAGGTCTGCATGTCCACTGCACTGTTATCCACTGCAGGCCCAATCTTCAGGGCTGGTACAGGGAGTGTTTTGTCAATCTGCTATTAAATTGGAAGGAATACATTTAATTATTTGCATTATTTAATGCTCATCACCAAATGTATTAATAAACACCACATAAAATAGGATTATAACTTAAGACTCTTGAAAAGGGCTACCATCCACATGCCTGTGGCAGAAGTTAGAAGTGCTTTTACCACCCTTATTCGTACTGCAAAATGCCACTGCACCTCTATTGTAAGTTACTGTTCTCCAAACTATTGGGCTTTTTCCTCACATGTAATTTCCTTAACATGGTTAACATCATCCCATCTGCACATGCAATGTCAACTTCCGGAGGACAAATTCAAAGATGTCTGGAAAGCAAAGCATTAACTTGGGCTGAAATGTAAATTACTTAAGAAAAAATAATCCTTTTAATAGACTGTAAAATACCACCTTCCCACAGGTGAAAGCTGCAAGCCAGCTGAATTCTGCCGGCGAGCAAACTCTTAACTTTTGAGTGAGCTCTGTCCATCTCAACAACGCTAGGGCTTTCCAGAGGAGTTTCAGCTCTGCGCGCTTGGGCTAAGGCGGCAGCAGCAGCGCCTCACAAGCACGCACGCCATCGAAGTCAGGCGCTTTCAGGCAGCCCGGAGCTGGGCGTAGGCAGCGCAGGCGGCATTTCACAGCCCTCTCTGTCAGGGCGGAGCGCTCCCCCATCGGCGGCCGCGGCCCGGCCCAAAATGGCGGCAGGGCCTTACCCGGAAGCGCGAGCTTCACGGGCTCTCTGCACACGCCGGCCAGCCCGCGCCCCGAGGGAGGGGGTTTAGCATCTTTCCCCGCTCCGCCGCAACCGACTCTAGGGATGGAGAGCGTGTGCACAGCAGATCCCATTCCTCCCTTCCCCGGCGGGACAGCCGGCACACACAAACACCAACCACCCCGCCGCCATGCCGCAGGGCGGGGCGAAGCGCGGGGCGGGCCGCCGGCCATAGCGGTTGCATTCAAAAGTCGCCTGGCGGGCAGATCGGTTTCTTCCCTCTTTCCGCTGCTCCGGCTGCGAGAGGGGCAGCCGCCCGCCGCCCGGCGGGGCTCGCCGCGGCAGCCCGCAGGTGAGTCGGGGAGTCCGCTCGTCCCGTTTCCCTCCCAGCCGGTGCTGAGGGGCCTCTGGGCGAAGGGAGCGGGTGCCGTGCCCGGGAACGGCTGGTTTGGGGCGAGGTGCGGCACGGTGCCGTGTGGCTTTGGCCTTGGTCCGCCCTGCAGCGGAACGAGGGGCGACGCCGTAGGTGCTTCTCGGGGACAGTGTGAGTCGCGGCCGGTAAGTGCTTGCTGAAGAGGAGAATGCGGGTGCTAACCTTGCTCGGTGTCGCTCTCTGCAGCTATGGCATCTCGGGAGGCTTCCGAAACGTTCTTCAGCCTGAGTGGTGTAAGAGGGCGCATGCGGGAGAAGAAAAAGGGTGCCTTGAAGACGGCGAAGTTGAACGCCTCTATTGCATCAAAAATCAAAACCAAAATCATTAGTGAGTGTATTTTACCTTGCTGGCAGCTATGTCAGCTTATAACTATGTCTTTGGCTGTGGCTTTTATCCAGAGTTTATGTTTAATAGCTGCTTCTCTGCCTGTGGGTTTCTAGTGAATTGGGTACCCTACAAATGAGTGTCAGGTACCACTTGAAGTGCCCAAAGGTGTCTGAAATATTTCTGACTGGTATGTTTAACACAAAATCTTCGGAGCAGCTGCTGGGGCCATTACAGGCTGCTCAGCAGCATCTCAGATGGCATTGGGCAGCTGTGCTTGGGTAACAGTTCTCAGGATCCAAACAGCAAAAATAAGAAGTGTGGAAGGTATTTTAGAATATCTGCAATCCTGTACAGAGCCCAGCCCAACTTTGATTTAGTTTTAGGGGGAAACAATGCAATGACAGTGAAGGAGATAATCTGGACTACCTCGAAGAAGCTAGGCATTTCTGTTACTTATTTTGAAATTAGGAAGCATGGATCTAAACCTGCTTACGGGCTACTATGAAGGAAAGTGGTTTTTTTTTTATCCCTCTTTTTGGATGGAGATGAGGACTCAGAACTACAGGGACTTGTTCAAAGTCAAAAGCACATGAACCACACCGTCTTTTATTAAGAATTGAAGCAGTAGCTTGCTGAGCATGGCCCCCTCAAAATGGAGTGCCTGTCTGAAGTGTTGCAGGTTATTATTAAGCTTTTCCTGCTGTTATCTGGGGACTTCTGTTGCTGGAAGGAATTATATTGCTGACTTCATGTGCAGTTGAGTTGTAGGGATCTGAGCCTGACAGAAGCTCTTCTGGGAAGAGGAAGAAGTATGATAACAGACGAGGCAGGGATGAGACCTTGGATGCTGATTTTGTGTGATACTTCTCTGTCTCTCACAGACAACTCCTCCACTATTAAAGTCTCCTTAAAGCACAACAATAAAGCACTGGCCCTAGCCCTCAATGGGATGAAAGCCAATGTACAACAGCTCACCCAGGAGAAGACCATCTTACAGAAGGAGGTAGAGGAGTGCCACTTCCAGAATGCGGTGCTGCGGCACAAGCTCTCCTTCATGGTATGGCACTAACAGTGTGGCTGGCATTGGGAGGGGTGGTAGGCAAAGTATGCAGTACTGTCATCTCAACCTTGGGAGGAGTGAGCTGTCACTGGTTGTTCATGCTCTGCATATGAAAAATGTCACCATTTATTTGCTTACTTTTTCTTCTAAGCTGTGTCCTCTCTCCAGAACATGGCTTGCTCTGGTTGCCAGCATCCTTGTTGTAATAGATGTTTTGATTTAATGTCTTTATGTTTTTTTTTTTCACTCTTTATTACCTCAACATAGGATAATGCCATGAAAGAACTTGAAAACATTATGGCTGCAGTTAAGACAGCCCAGCTATCCGAGGTAAACCATGAGACATGTGAGCACTCTGTTCTGGGAAGGGATCTGGGTTTGTCTCTGGCTTTTGCTTTATCTTGCCTGCTTACTTCAGTGTTTGATGCTTCAGCTGTTTTTTTGGCTTGCTTGAATTGTGCTGGTTACATCCTTGCTTTTAGCTTGGTGTTAATGATTTCCAGAGTAACTTTTGTAGGAAAGACTAAGCACATTCCTATCCCAAGTTGCCTTCCTTGAGGTCATTGGCTGTATTTGGCTAGTAGGCTCTTCTGCTATGACAGATTGTGACTTCTGTTTTATTTTTTAAGTGTTGCCATGGCAACTCAGGATAGGGAATAGGACACTTTCCATATGTCCTGTCTCATGGGTGGGTGGGAGGGAACATATTCCTGCTTCCTAGTCTTGGATTATCTGAACTAGTTTAACTTCATCCTTAAGCCTGCAGAGACAGAATCTGACTCTGCTGCAATTTATTCTGTAATTTGTGTCATTTTAGATGGGAGAGGGTCACCAGCAATATTTGACATACATTCCAGGGTGAAACTGAGCTCCTGCTGGCTCTGTGGTAGAGCTTGCATGGGGAATTGCAAGAGCTTTAAACCATTTTTCCGTTTCTCATTTTTCAGTTCCACACAAGTTCTGCACCCTTGTGGAATGGCCAGAAGAGCAGCATAACTGAAGATAGCTGGGCCAATGATATTGCAGATGTTCATCTTGTGAGGTGGGCCTTAAAATGATATCACCAAATTTGTCTTGAATTTCAAAATGCTAAACTTCCCATTGTGTTTTACGTGCCCAGTTGTGTGTTTTACATGCCCAGTTGTCTGTTTTACATGAGAGGTCTTCTCTACCACCATTGCTTGATCTTTTCCCTTACTTTGTGCCTTTCTGTTGTCACTCCTTGTCTTATTTGTCCTAATGCCAGGTCTGGGCATAAACTGGTCCTTTTTCACTCCTTTTTTTGAAAGCACATTGCCTTAGATGGTTTTTCCTTTGTAGCTGGTGAGCACTGCAAGATCTCCTCGAGTGAGTGCCATAGCTGGCTGCTTTGGTCTTTGTTACATACAAAAGATTAATAGTCTTCTGCTTGTATGATATAAACTTGTGTTTTGGAAAGGATGTCAGAGCAGGATGTCTTAAAATATATTTGAAATTCCATTGCTCCTCTGTCTCGTCCCCCTTCTGAACACCGGGGAGCCCTTGGAGCTGCCCACATACACATATCTCCAAGCAGCCTTGTTGATGTCCCGCAGTGAGCTGAACCTGTGGCTGCAACCTGTGCACTGAAAGGCCTTCCTTGTTGCCTCAGTGTACTTTTCTCCTGCTTCTGGGTCAGCAGCAGCGTGCCTTCCTTATGAGCTGTGTGTACACAAAAATGGGAAATCTGTCCTGGCTGGGCAGTGCGTGTTCTGCGGCACTTGAAGCCTTCAGAAATGTATTTCAGTAACTCTTGAAAGCTGTAGCTATGCTGCTGGATTCTGGGGCGTCATGGGTATGGAACATCTCTGTTTACTGTTCTTCCTTCTCATCAGGGCTACAGGGATGCCAATGAGGGTGCCCATTTCCAAGCCGTTTGATGGTTGCACTTCCACAGCAGCACAGACATGCTCACTAGATTTTCTGAGTCATGCTTCTAACGAGCCCCTGGAAGTTGAGCCTATTGCCTCCAAAAACACTTTGCCACCACAGGCTGCTGAGAAGCCTCAGTTCCCCCAGGAAAAGAATGAGAAGAAGATCACTAAAGCAATGGAAGCACAAGAGGTTTTTCTTGGCTCTTGCATCTTTGGAGGTAAACCTTCATCTTCTGCTGTTCTTCTGATATGACTTTGTGTGTTTGTGTTTAGAAATGAACATGGTGCCATAGCTCCAGTTAACTCCTAACTATCACTCCAGCCGCTCCTAATGACTGTTATGAACGACATACTTCAGTGATGGTGCTATCACTATAATTACATGTATCCCAGAATAGGATGTCTTGCTTGGTGGGGATATTTTGCCATATTTGCAGTTGCTCGAGATCGCTCATAGCATAGCATCAGCCAGGTTGGAAAAGACCTTCAGGCCTATTTCTGAGTAATAGGCACTGAGCTTACATAAGATTTTCAGAAATCTCTGAAGGTACAGTCTAACTAGATGCACATCTTCTGTTCCTTGTGGATTTGCCATATAAATAACTATTGTACAGATGACAAGCATTCCTAAATATTAGGGCTGGTTCAGGGGTCTTGCTTACAGCTGCCTTTCTGTTCTGAGGGGAGCCAGCTGAGCAATTCTGTTACACAGTAAGTTTGGGAAGTCCCTGTAGACACAAAATCATGCTTTTTCTATGCTCTGGATTTGTGGCAAGGTATGGGGCATGGCATTTAGTGGTATGGGAAAGATGGTATTTGCCTGCTGCATTACTTAGTTTTAGCAATGAATTTTGTCTTTCCAACAGAGGCCTTTTGCACCACCAAAAAAAATCCCAACAGTTTGCCAGCACTTCCCTTGGAAAGTCATTCTCTTTCACATGAGGGCGATGAGATAGCAAAACATTTGTTGGATCGTCTCTCACAAGGATACGTTACTCAGA